TGGGTAGGAGGAAAAGGTTGTTGGGATAGGGTCTCCGGCGACAATGAGCACAACTGGTGCGCGAAGCAAAGTCTTTCCCACAGACGGCGCCAACTGATGATACAGTTTGTTCCAGTGAATGGATCGGACTGGTCCAAGCTCCTCAAGCCCACGTCCAAATGATCAAGCCCACCGGATAACCTGCAAACAAGTTCAACGGGGAACTAGGTAGTCCCCCAGTGAACCCTTCGTCGAGCAAGTTAGGAAGAGAAGTAGAGTGGAGAGGGAGAGATTACAGATAGAAAAGCTTAACCTTCTTCTTGTCTTCAACGTTTGCTTATATCCTTTGGTAATCATTTCGTTGTCCCTTCCGACCTGCCCTCCTCGCCGAAAGTCAATGCTGTAGCTTACCTTGTTTAGGGTAAGGGGGTCCTGTTCCGACGGAGAGGTGTTGTCGCAATAAATGTTGTGATGGGATGCATTAATGGTGATGTGCAGTGACAATAATTTTGCAGATCTTTATCTGCTGATGTGGCTCGTCCTTCACCTGCCATGTGTCTGAATGTTATTGGCTCTTTATGCCATGTTGGATTCTAGCTGTTCTGGACCTCACCAACTGGGTTATGTATTGGGCTCCAAGTGATGGGCTTGGTTTGTTCATAGTGATTCATGGTCTTCATGGGCTTATACACATCACATACAATACAATCTTTTTTTCATTATTAGTATTACATTATCATCTTTTTTTATTTGAGCTGTAAATTTTATCATTATCTATCTCTATACCTACATACAATCCGTCAGGATTAAACATAAGTATATTTATGTAAAATTTACAAAATTTACTTTGGGTTTTGTGGAAACAGGGTTGTTCACTAGTAATATTTTTAAGATTAGTGCATTTGGGTGGACCACTTTTGATTGTGAAATGAAACCTCTCTTCTCTTCTCCACAACAGAATACAATACAACACAATACATACATTTTTTTTCCCTAGAGCTTGCAAAATCATGGAGCACAGTGTCTGGGTCCTTACGGGCCCATGGCCCTATGTGCTCCGAAGGGAATCTGCACCAATGCATTTAGGGATTATTTGAGATGATCTAAATAAGTGTACTTTTTGACTTTTTATGAAATATGGATTAGGTTTGGGTTGAGTTTGAAGTGATGTGTTAGAGAGGTGATGTGACTTAAATAAGATGATGTAATTTAAATAGAATAATGACTTTTTGACTTTTTATCTTTTTTTAAGTATGCCAAACTTGGCCTTACTTTCTTTTAAATTGAGATTGTGATTTTCTCTATTTCATTTTATATTGATGAATGGAGATTTTTATTTTATAAGATTGCAATATATTATTAAATTTAAAATTAATAATTTATAATTATTATGTCATTTTAAGTTTTGAAATTTTAACTTGTTTTTTTTTTTTTTGGCTCCATTCTATTTATGGGGGAGGATGTGATTCATGAGGAGACCATATACGTGCAAAAATTAGGTGTCATATCTCCTGTCCTTAATCTCTCTCTCTCCTATAACAAACTCTCTTTCTACTGGAAAGAATTATTAGGAGGAAGTTTTTTTAGGACCCAAGAATAATAATCCCAAAATTAATATTATGTAATAATATCAATCTTTCTAACAAGAAGGAGGCTTTTTTAGGACCCAAGAATAATCCTGGGGCTAAAATTTGCACACTGGGGAGAAGAAATAGAATGATGTGATTCTAACCACATTTTTATATAACATTTAGGGTATGTTTGGTAACCATTCCGTTTTCAGCTTATATTTATAAAAATTTTAAAAACTGTCATAAAAACTTATTTAATAATTTTTTTGATTTATAAATGGTTGTCTCAGTTTATAAATTTGAGAAAAAAACGTAAACTCAAAAAATGAGTTTACATTTTCAGTTTTCAAATAAATTTTTTTCAAATATTTTTTTTTCAAATAATTTTTTTTTTCAATTATTTTTTTTTCAATTAATTATTTTTTCAATTAATTTTTTTTCAAATAATTTTTTTTTCAATTTTTTTTTTCAATTAATTTTTTTTCCCACTTAAATTTTTTTTTAATTATAATGTGTGTGATCCCATTATCATAAATAATAAAAATAAATATAAATATTTTAGGCCTGAACAAACATATTTTTTTGTTTATGTTTTTAAAATTTTTTAAACATTTTGTTCAAACCAAACGCATTTATAATTTATGTTTTTCTAAAAATAAACAAAAATCAGTTTATAAAATTTTTGTAAACATAAATCAGAAACGTAAACGTTACCAAACGGTACCTTAGTTTTTGTGAATCTAGTGAACAAGATTACTCATCCAACATTATGAGATTATGATTTGTATGTTGTCTGTACTTTTAACAATGTAATAATGTTTTGGAACTCCATGACTTTGTACAACTCCCTAAATTCATTCATCCTAACAATGTATCTACAATAATATATATATAGCACTTGTACTTAGAAGATGATTTGATTCACAAAGTATTCTCAAACATTATTATAGATTAGATTCCAATTTGTATATTGTCTATGTACTTTTAACAACTTTTATGTTTTGGATCTTCATAGCAGCACAGCACAGCTTCATAGATCTGTATGAATTAAATCTCAACATTATTAGCCTTGATGAATGAATCTGTCTTGACTTTCATAGCCAGGCCAACAATTTCCTCACATTTTTTTTCTTGCTAACCCAAAATGCCTTTTTTTCAACAACAAAAAGTTTTATCATACAATGAAACAATCTGCAGATAACAAGTAAAAGTGCTCATTATCTGCACTTTGTGATTTGTGGGTAAGAACTTCAGTATAATTTATTCTTCAGCTCAGTGAGATCCATTAAATTACTGTACTTCGCTCAAAGGTCTGTGAGTGGCCTGTGAGTGCATTGTCGAATATCATAAAAAATTTAAGTAAACTGTCTGGCAGGAAACATTCACTTTTTTTTTCTTCTCTTCCAAAATGGATCCAATTGTTTCCTCTATTTTTTTAATATAATGTTCAGGTTCATCAAAAACATAAAACAATATCAAAAATCTTATAGAAGATTTCATTGGTGTGACACATCTCTACCCAGAAAAAACAAAGTAGCCGAAATCAGAAAAGCAAATCTTCTGATACCTGCTATTGAAAATTGTACCAGAGTTTAATGACTATAATGAAAAGAAGAAAAAAATTATTCATCAAATTAATTTAGAAAAAGAAGACAAGCACCTTGGCAAAGAATTCTATGCCATTTGTTTGACATTCGTTTTTGCTTCTTAGTTGGCCGTTGTGCTTGCCGGGTGTCACTTTTAGGGCCACGGTTTGTTTTGGCGGACTAGTTAGAGTGTTTAATTAGTGCCACACAATTCTATTGGCTATTCCGCAAGGCCAGCATGTTGTTGCGGATATTGGGCACACCAGGGGACACTCACAAGCAAAAACACAAGACTTTTAACGTGGTTCGGCAAACCGGCCTACGTCCACGGGAGCGATGTTGTTATATATCAACAAATGGAGGAGATTACACACTCTCAACTCACTGTCTCTCTATATAACACACTCTCTCACACTCTCTGACAAACAGAAAATAGCTCTCACTAGCTCTCTCTGTTTTGTGCCTCTCTCTCAGCAGTGTGTTTCTCTCTTGTTTGCCGTGTATTCAACTCACCATCACCATATATGCTGTCTGTACTTTTAAAAATGTAATGTTTTATATCTCCATGACTGTACAACTTTGCAAATTCATTCATCCTATTTAAGTATCCACAATAATATATTGCACTTGTACTTGGAAGATTTGAGTCACTAATTATTCTCAACATTATTATAGATTAGATTCCAATTTGTATATTGTCTAGGTACTTATAATAACTTTATGTTTTGGATCTCCATAGTAGCACAGCTTCATAGATCAGTATTCATAACTTGGCCAACAATTCCTGACATTTTATTTGTTGCAAGCCTGGAATGGTTTTATTTATAAAAAAATATATTACTTCCTTCTTCAGCTCAGTGAGATCCATTAAATTAGGGTACATACAGAATGTTGTTCTCTACAACTACTCAAAGGTCTGTGAGTTCGTTGTCAAAAAACATTAAAAAAAAAAAAAAGTAAGTAACTTGGTTGACAGGAACTGTTCTCTTTTTTTTTTTCTTTTTTTTTTTTTCTTTTTTTCTGTTCTTCCACAATTGACACAGTTGTTTCCTTCTTCTTCTTCTTCTTCGTTTTTTTAATCTAATAATGTTTATAGGTCCATCAAAAGGCATAAAATAATATCTACAATCTTATACTAGGTTTCATTGGTGTGAACCCCATCTCTACCCAGAAAAAAGCAAAGGTAGTCGAAACCATAAGAGCAAATCTTCTAATTCCTCCTATTAGAAATGGTACCAGAGTTTAATGACGTGAAAAAGAAAACAAGCACCTTGGCAAAGAATTATCTGTCTTATTTTTGTGATCTTTTCAAAAGATTAATGCTCCCGGAAATCAGAACATACACAAAACAACAAAAACCATGAACTTTCACCGACATACCTATAGAGTCTGACACAGTTGGAGGAATCTAGCCTATAGTAATTGAAATGAAGTCAGGTGAATAAAAATTGAAACTCAGACAACACGGGTAGATAAACTCTCGGGTGCTTTACATCCTGTAGATAGGTGATGCCAAGCCAGCAAAAGTGACACTGCTTGATTACCTCATTCAAAGCTTGGATGGCAAGTTCGGGATCAACATGACCAAGAAATGTCTGAGTGTTGACAGTCCAATTAATCTCAAAACATTGACAACATCACAAGCAGTTCAGATCAGGAATGCTATATCCTAATAATGGTAACGATAGCCACTCATATCAATATGAGGCTGAAGATCTTTCAGGACCAAAGAGTTTGCGTAGTCATCCTAAGATTAACAATTCAATACTAGTAAAAAAAACCATAAAAATAATTAAGAACCAAATGCCTCAACTTAGTGTTTATTAATACAGTGACAAGTTCACAAGTACAATGCAAAAAAAAATTTGAGAAAAATAAATTTCTATCATTTTTGATATATATGGGGTACTGGACCCTGCAAAATTGTACAAGATTCTCATTTTGGTACTGTACAAGATGAACAAAACAAAAAATACATACATGACTGAAATAGAAGAAAGAATGTCAAAGAATTCCTATATTGTCTTCTCTATCCATGCAAAAGAATAGATTAATCAAAGAATTTACCCTATCTCATGCATCATGACCGTTTGGTAACTCCAATTGCCGAGCTTCCTTTACACAGTGGAGAAACTTGTGGCGGATAATTCCTAATTCGAGGCAATTCCCCGCTAAAACTTGTCTTTCTGATGTTTATCTCTCCACTAAAACTGTGTGGTATACATTCCCGAGTGGAGTTTGATCTGAAATGGCCAGCAGTTCTTGGAGACAAATTCACTTTCTCTAAAGCACGGAATTGGAGTTTGGAGGGATAATCCCTCACACAACCTATTCGAGGCCCTGCTCCCGTGGTCCATTTGCAAGACAATTGCTTCCCCAGTTGATATGAATTCATTCCTTTATGCGAATCAATCCTTTTCAGAATTGATTCTTGAGGTATCTTCTCTTCCTTGTTTTCTTCATCTTCTTCATCATCAGACAAGTCCTGCTTGAAAACCATATGATCTTGATCAGAAGCAGATGATTCCTCTGCTGTTTCATAACCGTCCAATGGGGATTCTATTGCTAATGTATTGGTACTTGACTGAACAGCTTGATTCTCAAACTTTAATTTCCCAAACAAATCATCCCTATCTGGTATTGAAAGATTAGGTAGTTTCTTGCAAAGATTGTTGTGAGATGGCCTTCGTTGAGGAGGTTCTGATGCAGCAGCAGCAGTGGCAATCTCTGCTATTGAATTGGTTTTCTGTGAAGTCTTGTCCTCATTATCCATCAGTTCTGTCTCGAAGCCATCCTTTTCGCTCAGGTCTTCTTCAGATGAGACGTTTCTCAGTACAACACTGCTCTGTTTGCTAAGGGATTCTTCTTCATCCACAGGATCCGTCTGATATAAATAAATTATGTTCAATCAGTATCTGATCTTTTACTTTCTCTTGGAAGGAGATCTGAAATCAATAGAAATGAAGCTTCACATTTACCTTAACATCAGTGAGATCCACATTGTTCCTCCTGAGGAATGAGAGGAAATCCTGAAAGTTTTCTGGTGTTGGCCGATAGTGGCCACTGTGAGGCCAGACTGCCTGTTGAAAATTGACCAAAAAGAACATTGTTAACTCAACATCAAAGAATCATCACTCAACTTAGTCAATATGGAATATATGAGAATTTCAATCTGATTTCAATCTTGTAATTATACCTTTAGAATGCCCTTTTCGACAACTATTCTCCCAGCTGCGGATGTGGCTCCCCCAGCCAAGAAGCTAGAATGCTGAAATGTGCCTTTTCTCTTTTGGCCAACATAAAGGGTCATAGATGTGCTGAGGACAAAAATCCACTTTTCAGCATTGGGTCCTCCAGTGGCATCAATAAGCTCCCCTGATTGCTTGTAGAAGAGCTTTCCATTCTCAATTACAACTTCGTAAGCCTTCCTTTCCATCTGTGAGAAGGGGAAAAAAATATCAGCAACAAGGTTCTCAAGGACCTAGAGAAATTTTGTATTGCAAGAGAAAAAAATAATGAAATTCAACAGATCGAAGTGGCTCACCGGACCAAGATACTTGATGCATTGTTGCTGAAGTTTTGATCGAGGACATTTGTCAACAAGATTAACTTCCTTGCCTTCTCCAATGTCCAGCCTGCACTTACAGATAAGCATGTTTACTACCACAGTTGAAACTCAGCCTCTAAATACACCTCTTTTGATGAAATGCACAATTTCCTTTTAATATAGTTGTTAAAAGCTTACCAGTAGAAGAAGGGTTCTTTGCTTTGGGAATGAAGCCATTTGACATAGTAGAAGTGAAGATTGTGTCCATAACGATGTCGTGGGTCAATCTGTCAAACAAAAATGAATAAAGTCTCTGATTTAATAACAGCCAAACAAAGGATGGACGAGAATAAAAAATAAGTTCATAAGTAATTTACTTACTGCCTCGAGCCAATGTTGTAAAGCAAGTTTTTGGGCTCTACTATTCTTTGATAGACCTTTTCCAACCTGAAAAATATCAGGCAAGAACCACAAATGGTTAAATATGGTAATAAATTTTAGAAGATAAATTAACATAAGCATTCAATCTGGATCAAATTTACTTTGGCAGCTCTGGTTCTTGCTCTTGACCAACGGGAAATGGCAGTCTCATGTTTCTCAATGTCAAAGAATGATATAGAACTTCGCTTCAATTCTGCAAAATCTAGTAGCTTCCACCTGAAATTATTTTAATTTTCATTAAAAAGGAGGTAAAAGTTGATTGACTTTATGCAAAGTAAAGAGGAAAAAAAAGAGAGAGAGAGAGAGAGAATGTGCAAATGGTAATGAAAACACACCAGCTCTGCTCAATGAGAACTGCACAATCAGCTAGCTTTCTTCTTGTTCGGAAGCTTTTGTATACTTTCTGCAACTTTATTGCCGCTTCATGGTTTGGGTTGCTTAGATCCAAAGTAGGCAACTGTGTGATCTTATCGATCATGCTCTGTAACCGTGGGGATTGAAAATCCATCTCTGAGCACTCGGTACAACTAGATGTGATGAACATATCCTTTTTTTCAATTGAAGGAGCTTCAACCGAGACAGTTGTTTCAGTTTTTGTTGTTTTGAAGCTAACAGATTCTTCTATCATCGTCTGCCCTGAATATTTTGATTGCAACGCGGTGGGTTCCGAGACTTTGCCCTTAAAGCTGAAGGACTGCACTGGAGTTTTCACATCATCATCCCCCAGACTAATGGAATTTACAACAACAGATTCAAAGCCACTCACTAAGTCGCTATACACAGCAAAGGGGTACGGAAAGGAAATCTCCATGCGACTTCAACAGGGAATTTGATTGGCTTATGAGATCTGGATTCCTGTTGAGACAAACCAATTACTTGTCAGAGAAATGTCAGAAAATGAAATGTAAAAACACTTTAAAAAAAAAAATTCCTTCTATTTGCTTACGAACTGCAGAGACTTCCAACCCAACCCATGGAAATTAGATCAGATTTTGCCACTAAAGCAATGAAAATATGATGATGAATCCACAATACCCATTTGGTCTATGTGGTACATGTATGTATGAAGCAAGACAAGCCAGACTGTGTGAAGATGAGATGCAAAATTGTTCAAATAATAAGAACATTAAATGCTGCAAACAAAACCGTCAAAGGAAGCAAGATCTGCAATATCCATTCTTAAAAATAAAATATAAATAAATAAATAAATCGCATTTCCATAATCAATCAATCACGGAAATCCGAGGACACTCGTATGTTCTAAGTACCAATATGAACAGGTGAAACTAGATTGAATAACAGTATTTTAAACAATGACGGCTTGAATCAAATAACCCAAACAACCCCAATGTGGAAAAAAGCATAAATTTATGATACCCATTAAAAAATAAAAATAAAAAACAATATCTAGAGAAAGGTTTCAAAACCCAAGTTGGAAAACAAGATTCACAGAAGATCCATTTCATCAAATGGCATTTGCTATATGAAAGACATATCTAAATTTTTCAAGCCCACAAGAGGTTTGATCAATTGTTGCAGAGAAAACCATCAAGAAAATATCAAAGATTTGCAAAATCCATTACCAGCATCATCATCAATCAGGATTCATGAAACCCAGAAAACTCATTCAACAAAATAGCCAATTAAAAAAAAAAAAAAAAAAAAAACTAATCTATACTATTTAGCCGATGAAAAAGAAAAAAAAATACCATCTTTAGTAAAAACCAGAAAACACAAACAGGAAAGACCCACGTAATTTGGAGCCAAGAGTCTTTACCTTAATGTGAAGAGTCCGTGTGAGCCAAGAAATGAGAGAGAGAGAGAGAGAGAGAGAGAGAGAGAAATTGGTGGGCAATAGTGGATTGAGAGTCCGAATTGAAAGGGAGGAGATAGGATTGATTGGGCACTGAAGAGTGGTTTCCCTCTGCTTTCTTGTGCTTTTAAATGCTTTTCAAATAATGAAAAGCTCTTGGGAAGGAAATAAACGTCACTTTGCTTCCCTCGGCCACTGCTGGCTTTGATTTATATATACATGATGGAGCAAGCAGACGGACTCAGTTTTTAGTGAGAGAGAGAGAGAGAGAGTGCGCGTGTGTGTGTGTGTGTGTGTGTGTGTGTGTGTGTGTGTGTGTGTGTGGAATTGACTTCCGAATGAGAGAAGCCTTCTCCACACGTGCTTGCTTATTTATTTGTTTGGTTTTTAATAAAAAAATAAAAATACATGAGTTTTAGGAAACAAATTTTTTTTAAAAATACTATAAAATATAGGAAAATTTACAAATTAATTGTACTTTCAAAAAGTAATTACATACACATGAAATAGTTTATGTTCTTAATAATAAAATTTGTAAAATCTATTATTAATTTGAATTTTTTTTAAATATACACTGATTTGTTATTTTCTCTAATATGTGTTAACAGTTCTTTTGTTTAATTACATTGAATTAAATTAAATATTTATTAAAAGATTATAAATAAAGATTATAAAAAAAAATTAATTTCTCAATTTCTTCCCAAGTAACACTCCTTGGGCCTACCATGGATGCTTGGGACCCCCTTTTGGGTCACCCCCTCACCCCCCTTTGCCACGTGGCGGGTGGTGATTGGACGAGTAGGAAAAAAAAGAAAAAGAAAATGTAACCAATGAGAGAGAGAGGGGGTCAAAGGGGGTGGGGAAAAAGGGGGGATGAATCATTGTTGTAAATCTTAATGATCCGTTGTACTAATTCAAAAAAATAATTTACATAAAAAAAACTTATTAAGGGTTGGTTTGGGATGTCCTAAAAAAGTGCACTTTTTGACTTATTGGTGGGTTTGGGTTGGGTTTGGGTTGGGTTTGATGTGATGTATTAGAGAGGTGATGTGATTTAAATAAGATGATGTCACTTAAATAAGATAGTGACTTTTTGACTTTTTGGCTTATTTAGTACATGCCAAACTAGCCCTAAGGCCTCGTTTGGGAACAAGCTAATTTAGTAACTTTTTGATTATTTGACTAAAATATGAGTTAAAAAAACTAGTATGTTTGTGATGACTTTTTGACTTTTTACAAAAAGATGTGCAAAAAGTAGAGAGAAAAGAGAACTTTTAACTTTTTGGTATGAGTTGTTGACTTTTTGACTAATTTAATAACTTTTTGACTTTTTAACTAAAAATGATAATTCACAAACGAGGCATAGGGTGTGATCGCCATTGCTTATATCACCACGTAGCTCTATGGCCCGGTTTGATAAAAAATAAAAAATAAAAATTATCACTACTGTTGTATGTGTATCTATCTCCAATTGTAATGTAAGTAGTGACGTAGCTTAACTTGGAATTTTCCTTTTTAGATACATCGGAAACAAAAGCTTAACTTGGAATTAATCTTTATTTTTTTAACAAATGGATATGTAGCACATTTATATGAAATTTCACCACATCTATATCGATGCTAAAAATAAGACCTCCAACATGTTCTTATGTTTAATCCCAACCAAAAACTGTAGAAACTCAAACTTAAATTTTAAATTAAGATTTAAAAAGTCTTAAGGGTTCTTTGGGATATCCTAAATAAGTATATTTTTTTAATTTTTTAAACAAAAAAGTAGAAGGAAAAAAAATGGTTGTCTGGGATAATTTTTTGACTTTTTACGAAAAAATGTGTATTAAAATATTGTATAAAATAGCAAAATTATCATTTTACCCCTACTATATCTAAATGCCTACTGACTTGGATTGTCCAAGAAGCCAGACGATGGGCAGCAAATATGTATAGGAGGAGATTGCCTACAATCCGAGATCGGACTGGATGATACTATTCGGCCCTAGGGGCCCACCACATGTCCCATTTTGATAATCGGAATAGTTCAATGTGTAGAACTCGTCGAGTATTATATGCCTGTAAAAAATTATATTAATCGGATATCAATAGCTATCTGATCAGATTAGTTTTTTGTCAACCGTTAATTTCTTTACCGTCCAATTTTTTTTACAAAACTGATTTGATCATATAGTTATCGATATCCGATCAACGTGATTTTTTACAAACATATAGTGTTCGACAAATTCTATACATTTAACGGTTCAGATTATCAAAATGGGACCTATGATGGGCCCCACGGCCTGAACAACATTGTCTTGTGTATCATGAGAAGTGCATCCAGTTGTCTAATGTGTACCAGCACTGCAGACAGCACATCACTTCAATACACTTTTTGACTTGTATTTTTTTTTTTTGAAAATTTATTTTTTTTATAATTTTTTTTGTGAATAGTGATAATTCTTTAACTTTTTTAATAATTTTTTAGTTTTTAGTTTTCTATCTTTTTTCATGGATGCCAAACCAATCCTTACTATAAAATTAACCCCGTTGGTAGAATTAAGCTTTTTTTTTTGATGAATACTAAGACCTTGTTTGACATATACTTATATAAGTTAAAAAGTCAAAAAGTTAAAAAATTATTATTCTATTTAAATCACATTATTTTATTTAAATCGTACTACCTTTCTAGCACATCATTTCAAACCAAACTCATATTTTATAATAAGTTAAAAAATAAACTTATTTAGACAACTCCAACAATTCGTAAACAATCGCACACACTTTACTAAAATGGGACCTCTTTTCCTTTACTTTTTTCTTTTTTTATGTATTTGATGTAGGATCTCTTCTACTGACAACAACGTAATCATATATAAAAACCTTTTAGGTAATTACGACTTTTATACTTTTAAGGGTATTGGTGGGGTTTTGATGATGTATTTGCCTACGTGGACTCAGGTTGATGACCATATCAATTGATTGTGCCCCTTTAAATGAGTCAAAAAAAAAAAATTAAAGAAAAGGGTAAGAATGTTTGTGGGTACAAGTTTTTAAGTATTCTCACTAATTTGTAAATATTTGTTATCTATATAACAAGAAAGTTCAAATTTTTACTCTTGATAGGACTTTTGTTCATTTATCAAAATTTAAATCATTAGATTAATTCAATCTAACCAAAAAAGTGTGATCTTTATCTATATTTGTAGTAGTGACACTCTCTCTATCTCTCACACTTACTCCTCTCATCTCTTTTTGTTTTTAAATTTTGAACTCTCTCTCTCTCTCTCCATCGGATGGAGCCACCGCAAAAGGGAAACAAGGGTTGAAAGGAAGTCCTCAATGCCGGAATAAAAGAGATTAGAGATCTAAAGATGGGAGTCGAAAAGGAAGTCCTCACTGCCAAAACCAGACCCAAGCCTGTCCCCGGTCAGATCACCACCGTCCATTGCACCAGCTACGGTTACTCTCTCTCTCTCTCTCTCTCTCTCTCTCTCTTTCTCTCTCACACACAAGCCAATATGTATGTGTTTGTGTGTATTATATATGATTCCAAGATGTATATATATCCAAGATGTATATATATTGGGACAATTTTGAGAAGGATATGAAGAAGATTCTGAAATGCCAATGATGCTACTTTCCTCTTCTTTTGTTTCTTTTAACTTGCATTTAGAATCAATTTGCATTGGAGCAAGAGTTATTTCAAATATAGTGAACTGATTCTCCAAATTTTGAAGACTCCCCTTTTCTTTCGATTCTTTAGATTTTGCATTGGAAACAATTATCACTGGACCTGGCGACAGTTTTGAAATGTTATACTCATCTTGAGTGATTATAACACTCTTGAAGTCCATCTCATTTGGCTTATTTGGATTATAACACTCTTGAAGTCCATCTCATTTCGATTCTTAAGATTATAACACTCTTGATTATAACACTTTTTCCCTTATTTGGCTTAGCACCATTAGGTGTAGATCCTGCAATACATTGTCGGCTCACTTTAGTTGTCAAAAAACATGCATTTGGATGAACTGAAATGTTGATCACAGATTTAACGGAATGAAAATAATATTAAGCCATTAGAAAGCAATGAAGTTAAAAAATGTAGTTACATTTAACAAAAAAACCAATATAATAACTACCAATAGGGCTGTGTTTGTGTTTCTAAACCAGTATAACAACAAAACAAAACAAAACAAAAAAAACTAATTAACAAAAATGTAGTTAGATTTAACAAAACCAATACATATGTCCGATTTATTGAAACAACCGAGAATGGGGATTAATCTTCTAGCCTGTTAAATTGATTTTTTCCCCTCAACTTAAATTTGTTTTGTTTGATGTCCTCAACTTAAATTTGTTTTGTTTGATGTTCTCAACTTATATTTGTCAAAATCAGATCATTGATCTAAAGGGCTGTGTTTGTGTTTCTAAGGGCCATGTTTGCCAATAAATCTTCTATCCTGTTTGGCCAATCGGACAATTTTTTTATATCTGTTTCTAAGGGTTGTGTTTTCCAATAAAGGGTTGTGTTTGATTTGATCTAAACAGTTTTTTTATTTCTATTTAAACCCTCAGTTTGTTGTCATATTTTTTGTTCATCTTAGTTTGTTTATCATATTTTTTGTTCATCTTATTTTCTTTGTTCATCTTAGTTTGTTGTTCTTTTCTCTCATCTTAGTTTATGGACTGTTGGATTAATCAAGAAATCAAATATTTTGGGAATTAATCAATAAGTAAAACAATATTTTGGGGATTAAGTCAAACAATATTTTGGGTCAGATAGTTGTTGCCAATTAGACCAATATTTTGTGTTTTTGGCCAATCAAATATATATATATATATATGTATTTTGATCCCAATATATAAAATTTTAATTATTTATTTTGATGATTATATAAAAACGCTGGCACTTATAAAATTTTATTTTGATGATATTTTGGTAATATTATTTTTTTTGGCTTTTTAATTATATACAAAAACACTTATATAAAATAAATAGAGAGAATGGGTTGATTTTTTGACTTTTTAGCTAATTTTCCTATTCGTAAACAAATTAATCTATTTTTTTTTCTTTTCTCCTTGAATTAATAGGTTGATACGGTAATGTTATACAAACTAACAACCTTACAATTTTTTTTACTTATTGATGTCACACTTAGTGCATGTTTGATTAGTAGTATTATAGCATAAGATTAGGATTGTTAGTATTAACCAGATTCAATCTA